CGAGGCACCTGCCGCGCGCCCATTGGCTCCGCCGCGCCCGCGCGCACCTCTGCCCCGCGCTGATTGGCCAAGGCGCGCCCCGCGCCCCGCTCCCGACGTGCCGCCTCCCTCCCTTTGGTTTAACGGCTTTTTAACGACTTTGAGCGGGGCGAACTCGACGGCAAAGCCGCGGGGGGCACGGACGGCCTCCCCCCGCCCCAAAGCGGCGCCCCGGGTTCTCGCCGGACGTGAGAACAGTCCGAGGCGCCGGCTGGGGGGTGATGCCACAGCAGCGAGCGCGGCCCGTGAGCGCGGGGGCTGCAGGGGGTGGCAGCGGGCACAGCCACCCGCCTGCCCCCGTGGCGCTGCCCGAAACACGCGTGGTGCATGAGGCATTTGGGCAACGGGGAAGAGCCTACGGAGAAAGCCAAGCGCTGCCGCTTGCTAAAGGGCAAACCTGCAGCTTCCAGGGCTTCAGCCGGCCCTTTGGCCAGCTCGGCCAGGGACGTCTCGGTCGCTGTTCCCTGCCTCCCCTCACAAGTGCAGGTCGTGGGGCGACCTGACTTTCCCCCTTTCTTTTTTTGCATTCATTATCAAATGACACAGGGAGAGGCGAATGCAGTTGTCCTCCAGTGATGTGGTGTCACTTGCAGACAGCAAATGAATTGGAGCCAGTAAAAAGGTTGGCCGAGCAGCAAAACCACAGCTGGAGGAGTTGCACCGATTTGGGGAAATCCCAAATCCGTGGAAGGGGCATAGCCGAGACCAACCTGATGCTTCGAGCATCCACAGCCTTTCTCACGCTAGGCACCAAATTCCACTGTTCACTCGAGCAGCTTTTGCGTGACTGGGCTGGACATCCCCCCATGTGAAAAAACACTTCTTACTTTTCAGGTACTTCCAGTTTTCGCACGGGCCCCGCTGCTGCCAGCGGCGCATCGCTGACCATGGGACTTTCACTGTGAATATGAATCACCGCGCGGCCAGGAAGGCGAGGGATGTGCTGAGAGGCAAACGGGCGCAGGAGCACAAGCTCCCTTCTTCCTCTGCCATCTCCTACCTCTCCACCATGTTCTGCAGCTACAGAGACCGAGTGGGTCAGACATGGGGCCAACTCGCCCTGTGTGCGACCACGAGCTCGAATGCAGAGCGAGATGAAGGTGGGCACGTTTCCACCACCACCCTCCCAGCATGTGCCCCAGTTTTAGCCATCCTGACACCCTGAGCTCACTGCAGTTGGTTGCTCAGGAACCTCCGACCATCTCCTTCCCAAGCATTTGTCTCATCTCCCCCACATCCACTGCACAGGAGCTGCTTTAGACTATTGACCAGCACATGGGCATACCTCGCATCAGAGGAGATGCTTTTCCCAAATTTTGAGTCTATGTGGTAGCAGAGTGACCCATGGAAACACAGTCAGGTTGAGGTTTACTATAGAAAAACACATGCATGTTTTCCCCCCACTACTTGTGAACAGCTCCCCAGCTCGGGCTGGGGCTCACTAGGACACACACCCTGACCACAGCGTGCCACCCGAACGCTTCAAGTTTGGCATAGTTACAAGCAATTGAAAATAGACTTTACAGAAAAAAAACTCTGCCAAACGTAGGGAAAAAAAATGTGGAAAAAAAAAAGACTGGGAAAAAAATTGTTTGCTGGAAAGGCTCAAATAGCAGCAGCTTTGTGGCAGATGTGGAGATGGGATGGGGAGAGCAGCAGGGGATAACTCCTACTAACCAGGCTTCTAAGGACCGGCAGCAACAGTTACGGCTTGAAGGATGGGAGAGAACACGGCGGATTTTCAGGCAACTCCATTTCATCCTGTTTCTGCGGCAACACATTCTGGGTCCACATCCTTGCTCAAGCTGATGTCCTTCAAATCTCGTCCACAGCCTAACTTTGCCCCCAGCACTCCCTGTTTCCCTGGTGTTGTTGTTACACGTTGGTGTTATTTTCTTAAATAATTTCCTCAACCCTGTTGCTGGGCCGTTCCCGCTCCCTATCCATCGTGCTGTCCCGTGGTGTCTGCCCTGGTCCACATGCAGTTCCACAAATGCCCTCCAGAATCAGAATGCGTTGGGTTTTTTTTTTCCACAGCAATTTTGATATTTGCTTTTCCTATGGAAGAGAAAGAAAGAGAGAAAGAAAATCTCTCAGTGAAATAACAGCTTGAAGCTCCTCTAAATGTTACACATCAGCCGACCTTTCAGAGCCAGGCGGAGGGGTTTATTTTTAATCCCCCAGCCAGGACTCCAGGCAGCTCTGGGCCGAATTCTGCTCCCAGCAGCCAGATCCAAAGAGCACCGAAAACCCAGAGAAAAGCAGCAGAAACCCTCGCGGTGATTGGGGACCTCCACCAGGAGCATCCTTGGTAGGCAGCCTGTGGGCACATTAACATGCATTTAACACACATTAACATGCATGTTAACATGCATTTTGCATTAGTTTGAAAGCCAAAGGGCCCCATCCTGCAACAAGAGCACGGGCTTGCTATAGGAACTGCAATCGAAGCAACCAGCCATGGATCCTCCGGAGCCTGGCAATTGCCTGGCACCTTCCTGACCCCATGGCAGTGCCCATGGAGCCCAGGGAGCCTATGCTGGGCAAATAGCTTTTTTTTTTTTTTTTTTTTTTTTAATTGAACTGATTCCGACTTCTTTCAAAGGGAGGAAAAGCCATTAATGTCCAGCTAAGTGGGAATGCCGTGACTCTGCCACCAAAGCTTTTCCTTGATGCAAAATGCTCCTGGAAAAGAAAAAAAAATAGAAAAAAAAAAGCCTAAAAAAAAAAAAAAAACAACCCGTTGTGGCATTTTGTTCCCAGGGTTTTTGATGGAGTTTAGGAAACAGCAAAAGCAAAGGCCACGCGAAGCGAACGGCACCTCAGAGACTGCACGGAGCGAGCGGAGCAGCCCTGGGCTCTCAAGGTGGTTCAGGGCTGAACCTTCACTCCATGTTCCCCTCCTACAAAAGCCCCAAATGGAAAAAAACGTCTGTTTTCAGCAAGGTGAAAACGGATGTCTGGAAAGGCGCCTCCGTCACGGCTGTTTTTCCCGGTGCATTTGTTCCGGTTTGCTTTCTCAGCCGTTCGCACGTTGGGGAGTCCGGAGCGCAGCAGACAAGGCGCTCCGCTGGGGAGATCCCATGTGGGAATGGCAGGGAAACCCGCAGCGGGCTCTGGTCGCAGCCAGTGTCCCTTGGTGCCCTGGGCTCTTCGCTGCCTCCCAACCACCCGCAACGAGCCAGGCAGGGAAATTCGGTGGCGCGTTTTCAGCTGCGGGGCTCCGGAATGACCTTTAGCGACCACGGCATCCCCGGCCCCGCGAGCGCTGCTATTTTTATCGGGGCCGCTGATGGCGGTTTCCTTCCTCTTTCTCTTTCGCATGCACCAGACATACGAAAACCCGATAAAACCTCCAGCAAAAACCTCTGCGCTGGGGCAGGGAAGCCCCCGAGAAAAAACAGCTTCACGCAGTCCAGCCACGCGTCCCAGCATGGACAGGCCAGCTGAAACCACTGTGATGGGAATGGAACCTGATGGATGAGGAACAGCAGGAAAATAAACAAATAAATAAATAAATCTGCATTTTTTTCCAAAGTTCAAAGATCAGCTTGTGACCTTCCCTCTAAACAAACCACAGCAATTTTTCCATTTTAAGATGCATTTAAAACATCCCTTTAGAAAGCAGGCCGTCAGGTGCTGGGGCAGCGACTGCATTTGCAGCCAGCGATTTGCAGGTAGTCTGGAAAAAAAAAATTGGAAACACTGGCTGGAGTGAGATATCTATGTATTTATCTATATATAGCTCCCAGACACATCCAGAACTACCTACGCACGGCATAAGAGAAATTGTTTCGCCAAATCCTAAACGCGCTGCCAGCAGGTTCGCAGAGCCTCTTCCCTGAAAACCTTGGGTTAAGCAGGGGGCAGATACGTAGTGGCAGGAGGGCAAGGCCAGGGCAGGAACCAATCTGGATTTTGGAACAGGGAACATCCCCACAGGGAATGGCTCCGTGCGGGCGCAGGGCTCCCTTTTGCGCCCCCTCTCCCCAGGCAGCTCCGCTGCTCCCGGCACCGCGGGCTCCTCGTTCGGTGTCACGGCCACCCTGGGACCGTCCCCAGCCCGGGGGACCGGGGCCACCCTCACGCGTGGACTGAGACCCACGGCGAGTGCCGTGGGGCAGCGCGTCCGGAGCACCGGAGCCACCCGGCCGGCTTCCTGTTCCCGACGCTTATCGCTGCGGGCCAGGCCACCCGGAGGAAGCCCGGCACCCGGAGCGGCTCGTGGCCCCCAGGGCCTTTGGATTAGCAAGGGGGCACAGGGGTAACCAAAGGCCCCCTCATCCCTCCCCAAAACAGAGAAGATGCAGAGGCAGTTTCCTGGAGCACTGTTAGTATTTTGCTTCCTAAAATTAGGACTGGTCCAATGAAAGAGTCCCCTGCAGCTGCCTTGAGCATCACTGAGACTCTCAGCAGGGTCCCCAGGAAGGGTGACCCAGAAAAGGGCTCCAGAGCAGCCCACGTAAGGCCCAAGTTGCCCTTAGCAGAGCTTCCCAAAGAAAAGCTCCCAGAGGACAGCTAGCAAAAACCCTGCCGGGAGTGCAAGGCCCCGGACACCTCAGGGCGCAGACACCCTGCAAGCAGAGCCCAGCACCCGGCGCGGGGATGCAGAGCAGGTCAAACACTTCTGCAGACAAAAACACCAGGCATCCACGCTGGGCAGAGCAGAGGTTGCTCAGCAGGGATGCTGACTGGAGGCTCCCATGGGTGCACACGCATCTCCTAAAACTGCCCCTTTCCCAGATGTTTTCCTTGTGTTCCCGTGAGCATTTCAGCAGACCAAGGAGCAGGAATTCCAGGAGAAGGCGGCGCTGCAGCCTGGTGGCCTCTGCCCATCCCTTGGGATCGCCCGGGCCTGCATGTGGAGCCCGATAAGGGCGGCGGGTCGGAAGGGCCGGCGCGGCCCTCGCACAATGCTGGGCAGCGCTGCCAACTTCCCCCTGCCGCCAGAGCGGCTACAGCCAAGTAAAGTTAGAGAAGGAGAAAGAAAAGCTCTGGGCCGAGAGCTGGGCAGCATCTTCCCACGCAGCCCTGGCCGAGCAAATCCCAAGGTGTCGAAGCCGCACTCAGCACAGAGGGAAACTCGCGGGTTGCCACTTCCCCGCGCGGTGCATGGCAACACCACGGGGAAATATTTAGGTGGTGACATTAAACCACCTCCCGTGCCAGCCCCACGCTCCTTTTGCATGTCAAAATTGGCATTTTCAATGCAAATGCTGCTGCACGGCCAGAGCCGGTGGCCCCGGAGGCGACAGAGGCAACAGCCAATATCCGGCTGCGGGAGAATCCTCCATCCTGGCACCCTAGGGCGGCAAACAGCAACCCTGGCAATTAGCACCCACCTTGGTCTGCTTTGCAAAGCACTCGGGGACATTTGCATCTGATTACAACAAAGTGCTGGGGAAAAAAAGCAGGCTTTGCAGTTCCTGGTGGCAGGGCCAGTGCGAGGGGCCATGGGACGAGGGGCAGCCAAGCCAAGGTGCCCCATCTGAGATAAGGAAAGCAAAGAGGGGAAGCGGCGAGGGCACACGCTGCATTGGGGATAGTGCACAGGGCTGGCCGGGTCTTGTCCCCATCGCTTTGGCCAAGGATTTGTATATGGAAAAAACATACCCAGCACACAAAACAACCCCGCTCCATCTGGATAAATAGTTAACCGAGTAGTCAAAATAGCTGGTGCTACGAAACAGCTGCCGGGACAGGAGACACCCGGAGGAGAGAAGTATCACAGGAAAGCGGGATAGGAGGAAGGAAGTGCTCCAGTGCAAGGATGCGGCAGGGAGAGGAGAAGCAGCCGCCACGCGCAACTGTGCTGGGCTCCTCACACAGCTCCGGGCAGTGCCCAAACCCGGGAGCACCAGGGTCTTACTGTGCAGGGGTCGGAGCAGACACAGCACCAGGGTCCTCCAGAACATGGAGCTGAATGGGACCCGGCTCTCCTGGATGGACAGCTCACAAGGAGCCAGAGCAGGGGCTGGGACAGGGCCAGCGATGCTGCTTTTGAAGGAAAATTGACCCCTCTCCACCCCTCCCACACACAGCTTCACTGCATCACATCCCTGACCCAGAGATCAACTACAGCTGCCTGTAGTTGAAGGTTCTGATGAGCCTCCCACCACCTTAAATGCACTACTTGGAGCAGCATCTGCCCTTCTTGGGGCTCTCAGCACCAGCAATGTGGGTTGGGAGGGTGCTTGGTGACTTCATGTTGCTTGGCACCGACCAGACTGTGCTGGCTGCCTCACCGGGCACCTGGATTTTCCCACCATGAAAATTGTTGTGGGCACCAACACGGCACAAGCTTTTTTCTCATTAACCTGTATAGTTGAGAGCCTTCTCCAGGCCTGCAATGGAGATTTCCCCAGTCACCACCTCCCATCCACATAAAATCATGGCAAAGTCATGGATGGTGCAGTGACGGACGGGTCCCCGCTGCTGCCATTGTGTTTCCAGCACTAATTACTTGAATTCGTCACTCGCTGCCAAGCTCCGTCCTCTCCAATAGAGGAAAAATAATTGCAGCTATTCACACACCTTGAAAGGCCATAAATGAACCGGAGAGGGGCAAAACGTGCTCTCCCTGTCTGCGCCCTGTTCGATTTATGCATCTACACCAAAGCGTGAGGTTAGGAAATTATTTTCTTTTTAAATGACACTTCTTCCATGATCTATGAGTCCTACCTGCAGCTTTCATTTATTGATGATTTGGAAATTATTCAGTAAATCACAAGCCCGCTCAAGAGCAGCATATGTTCCGGGTGTTTTCCATCACAGCAGTAGGAAGCGCCGCAGATGGCCGCGCTGCCGAGGAAGAAGCAGCATGATTGCCTGATGGACCCCGACGGCCGAGGAAGCCGTTATTAAAGCATTTATTAACCCTTCAGGAATTACTATTAAGCAATATTGTGATATAACTGGACAAATGAGGAGTGGAGACGGCATTGACTTGGAAAAGCCTCTGAAATGTCAGCGTTCCCAGGGAAAACTCTGGGAAAAAGATATTCGACTTTGGCTGTAAATGCTGTGTTCCTTCAAAATCCCTGTTTTCTTTGTGGCTTTTCAAAGTGTGGTAGCACAGTGCAATGTTAAAAAAAAAAAAAAAAAACTATTTCAAAGCAAGAGTAACTTTCAAATGAAAAATGTAAATATTTGCTCTGTGAGAGGGAAAAGGGCTGCTCCAACACTGTCAAGATCTTCCCTCAGCCTCGTTCCCCCCCGCCAGCATGTTTTCTTTAGTTTTTATGAGAAATCAACAGTTTTAGAAAGCGTTTGGATTTTCCAATGGAAAAGCGCACGGGGGAAGCTTTTCCAAGCAGTTCCGCCAATTAACTCTTGGCTCGGGCGCCCTGCGGCTGTTGCGAATTTTCCATGGCTGGAAATCTTAACCATCAAACCTGAATGTTTTTCTCCCAAGACACATCCTACTCCAGGGAGAGTTGGTGGTTGATGTTCCCCAGCATCAGATGGGCTTGACGCATCCCAACGGTCCCTTTGGCCTTTTTAATTTAGGAAACCATTAACAGGAGCAGGAGGCCAGCGGCATGGCCGGAGTGCCAACCCCACTCTTGCTTCCTGGAAGTCATTCAAGGATTGTTTTTCTTAGTTATTTTTTTTTCCGCAATGGCAACACATGCTTCATACACATAATAGACCCCAGTCATCAAAAAGACAATTTCAGGCTCATTAAATATTCAGGAGCGGCTGCAAAGCAGCTGGATGACAAATAGGAGCAATATCCGTGCGGGATAGAGAGGAGGCTTGGGCTGAGGAGCTTGTGGCCAGCTGATGTATTTTTGGATAATGGGGAGCCAAATCTGGGAATCCCAAGGCCTGTGGGACTGTCTGGCCTCTGGAGGGAAGCAGCCGGCGCTTCCTGCTGGGATCCTGCTCCTTTGGAGCAGCCGGGAGGAGAAACCCCTGGGTGAACCCAGCCAGCGACGGACGGATGGATGGGACTATCCGGGAGTTGCTGTCGGTGCTCGAGCAGCAGCAGCGCAGCCACTTTGGGGACAGAACCTCCTGAGGAAAAACAAACTGGAAAAGCAAACTGAGGCGCGGCGGCCGGGGCGCCATGGCGACAGGGCGGCCTGCGGGTGCCCGGGCCTGCCCAGGCCTTCCTCCACCAGCCCGTTTTTCCCATCATCTTCACAACTTGTCACTCAGCCTGTGCTGAAATATGGAGGTGTTGTGGCTCTCCTGCAGTGCTGGAGGCAGAAAAAGCCCTGCGAGGGCAAGAGACAAAATGGTGGTGCTGTCTGAGGGCCAGGGGAAGAGCCAAGGTGGCGGTGCTGTCTGAGGGCAAGGGGAAGAGACAAGGTGGAGGCTTCCCGGGAGCTCCTCGCTTTTCCCCCTGTCCACACGGAAAAGCTGGTTCCGTGGGGCTGGCAGCTTGTGGCCACCGGCAGCAGCTGCGTGGGCGGCCAGTCGTGCCGGGCCGTATGGTGCCTTCACTGCCATTGGAGAAGAGGTACTGGCAGCTGCCCCGACAGGACACCCTGTTCCCGCTGCCTGGAGGAGGATGCTGGAGGAAAGGGGCTGGGAAGCGCCGGGCACAGGCGCCGCAGGGCCAACCCACCCCAAAGGGTGGCCACTGTCACCCACCAGGACCCTTCTTGTCCCCCATCCTTGCCCAGAGGGTACGAAGGAGCCTCAGGGGCACAAGAAGAAAAGGGGCCAAAAATGCATCGTTTTGGAGGAAGCTGAGACATCTCCAGCAAAAATCAAGTGCCGAAGACCAAACCTAGCATAGTTAGAGGCTGGGGAACGAATGGGGAAAGGGGCAGACCTGCAGAGCAGCGTGAGGACGCACAGAGGAGCTGAGCTGTAGCAAAGGCCAACATGGAAACCCAGCAGTGCCTCCAGTCCGAGGAGACACCGCGCAGCACGAAAGCCCCTTCTTTTCTGTTTCAGCATTAACACTCACATCATGAAGGGGCAAAAATATATTAAAAAACAATAGAATAGTGTGAGCGTGCAGGAGAAAAAGCTTAGCCGGCTACTTAGAGGGACATAAAGACCACAGTGGGGGGGATTTCTGTAAAGCCCTTGACATTCTTGATTAACAAATTTGCAGTGGGTGGCTTATGTAAAGGAGAAGGGTAAGAAAGGCAGACATGACTTATGCTTAAGCAGGCGGATGAGACTAAAGGTCCCCTGACTCAACACTTCTCCTGACTCAAAAATTTATCTTTTTTTTTTTTTTTCTCTCTTTTGCAGGTTTTGCTGGATGCAGGAGCAAGGCATGCCATTTATGTACTTAATAGCAACAGTGTGCTCTGTTTAGGCTCCAAGGCAACAACACCAGTTTAAAGTCTGTTTTTAAACACTTAAGCATGCACTTAACTATTCATGCTTAAGATTACACCCTAATTACATGTTTAATTTAGTCTAAACTAAACCCAGTCAGCGCTGAGGCCCTGGTAAATGTTTCTGTTCATATGTATTTTGAAGCCCTCCCATCACAGGGGTCACCAATGTTGACCGAAACATTTCTGTGTGGTCAGATAGTAAAACAGGGAATGGAAGCAAGAAAGCAGATTCAAAAATACATTAAAGTTGTCAAGAAAAGCATTAACAAGAGAACCACCCCCCAAAAAACTGCCAACTACTCTGTCTCCGAGACAGTCCCTGAACCCAGAGAAAGAGTCGCTTAAATTAACACAACTGTTTGAAAGCTGCACTCCCAGACTCTTGCGTCTAGGCCAAAGGAGGCAGAATTCCTGCTGTCTCTGCCAGGAAGAGCTGCAGGACACGGCTGGTCAGGTACCAGCGATGACAAGAAAGGGCCTTCCGATGCCGAGGGCTCTCCCAGCGCTTCCTGGGGAATCCCACATCCTGGCGACCTGTGCAACCAGGCCTTATTGTAGGCTGCCCATTTTCTACTTCTTTTAATCTGTTGCCTAAATCCAAAACACACTCAGCTGTAAGTGCTGAGGTCAATTATAAAACTCTGCGATTTCCATCTGTTCACTGCAAGTGCATGTTGGCGTTTCTGGTTGGAAGGAATGAGGTTTTGGTTTTGTTTTGTTCCTCCTTAGCTTGCATACCCACTTAGAGGAGTGCTGCTGCAATACTGCAGCCTGGGTTTGAATTCAGTAGCAGCTTTTTATTAGCTGGGCTTCCTTAGGTAAAAATAAGAAAATATTACTGCAAAATAGAGCTGATTAAATTGACCTGACTGCCATGGAAAGAATGAGCATTCATCTCATTTCCTTCGCCTCTTACTTAATTCCTTCCTTATTCACAATGGATTTCTCCAATTTGCTTGAATTAGAAATTGCTTCTATGCTTTAAAATCAGAGGCAGGTCAAATTTCTGTTTCTAACTACCAAGCTAAGCACAGTTCCTGTTCGGTCCTGGCCTCCCACCAGCTTCCTCAGTAGGCAGCACAACTCAGTTTTTCATGGGTTCATCATTAGGAAGGGGTAAGAAAATGCAGAATTGGATTACTGGGCCTCATTTTAATCCAACGTGTGATTTTATACCAGGAGACTGCTGCAGATTAGTGGACAGTCACTTCAGGTTTTTAAGAGGCGTGGAAAGATGGACCATACCCCACAATTTTCAAAGAATTGTACAAAAAATCATGACACCCATTGGAAATGTCACATCCAAAAGATCCAGGTACTCTGCTGTGCTTACCCTAGACAAGCTGGACACTGCACTCCTGCGGCCAATGTCACTCTTTAAAAGGATCCAGCATCTTAAAAGTGAGTTCTTTTAATCGTAAATGAGCAAATTAGGCCCTGAAGAGCAAGCCAAGGCTTTAGAAGAACCCTCCAGTGGCATCCTGCACACGGTGACACAACATCAGATATAAACCACACGAGAACAAGCAGCTTTAGTTGCAGTCATGAACAAATGAAGGTTTGTAAGAGAACTCTTAAAGCTCACTGCAAACTTGAGCTTTTAACGTTCAGT